TTTGGGTCGTATCGGGATATTTGAATTGGACGTCGCTAGGACTGAATAGCTACACGTAGCAGCGTTACAACAATATCTGAAATGAACTTCAGACTAGATTGATTGTTGAGTTTTATGCTCAATGGGGGAAAGCACTCAACCAATCAAACAATTAAATGTTACATTATATTTTGTTGTAATTTACTACTCAACCCCAGACACTCACACAGGAGCTGGTTCAGGTCGAATATTTCAATATAGGTTAAGATTTACGCAAACTTAACTTACATTAATCGGCCAACTTTCAGGACGAGAACAATGCTGAGAACTCTCTCTTTCTCTCTCTGTTGTCTAAACTAACAGGGGTCAAATAGTATAATTTTTCTTATTACCACCTAACTAAAGTCATTTCATTCTAAGGTTCAGAATTTTACTGATAGACAAAACAATAGAAAAGAATGTGTCACTTACAGAATTTTTACTTCCGGAAAATTCCTTATTCGATAAACGTTTTATAGGAGAGTCAGAATTTTCTAATTTCTTGAATTCTTCATCAACTGGAGAACTAGGCACAAATTGTTGCATATTTAGAGAATTCTGTAAACTGGGTACAACATCCGCATCGGAAAAATTTGAACTACGTTGAGGAACAACGAAAAAGAAAAACAAAATTCACGTAAAAAAACAAACTTCACGTTTCATGTATAATCGACACAACACAATGGTAATCACAATCACAACAAAACGGTGATAGATTGTGACATTGGGGCAAATCATATTCATCATCTGTGTAATTAATCTGAACAGAAACATTTTTTATGATGGGATAAAATCTAACAAATAAAAACTGATTAGTTAAACTTTGTGATACAACAACAGTCAATCAAAAATAACCTCCAAAGAAAAAGATGGTGAGAATTTTTACCTTTATCGATTATCTCTCTCTACTGAAAATAGAATTAGAATTAAGACTCAAGTGAATAAATACGATTTCGAAAAAAAACAATGCTTTGTTTGGTACATTCAACTTTCACAATATCAATAAATACACTTGATGATTAAAAAGAACACTATGAATAATCCTAATGCCATGTTTATCCTACAAGCCATTTGCATACAACCGGACATATTCGATCCGATAATACACTAATTTCGGGATCATGGAGTAACCATTTTGGAAGTAAAGACAAACATTCATTGACAAAAATAGATTTGTGTAGAAAATATTTTAAACTGATTGATGTTGAAAAAAATCTGAACAAACGATTCACAGCTTCGTATAGCTTATTGATAACGTTTCGAATATGGTTATCCAATGTAATATCAGCATGAAAACAACTTGACTGATTCGGATATTCGCAAATACATAATTCCTACTAGGAACATCAATCATTGAGAATACTTCTACATGATGGACCGACCTTAGTTAAATAACTATTGATAACCAAAAAGACTGGAAATCTGTTTATGTTTTCATATGGGACTACATCCACAGACCCAGTAGGGATCGAACATTGAACCTTTTGAGTTAGCCATGAGGCGTGAAAGTTCTGGGTTCGATTAGTAACAGGGTCATGGATATGCACACTAGAGGAGTATCGTGACAAAATGAAATTGATATCCAGTGCATCCTGATTTACAGCAGACGTCTAAATAAGGTTAGTCTAGAGAGAGAAAAATTATAAAACTCAACAAAAGCAACAAACCACCATACTTTCCAAAATTTGATTTAGTCTAATTGAAGAGAAGAAAACACTATTTGCTAATACAACTAGATCAGATGACAGAAACATTCCATAACATTAAATCAGTACACTTACTACATGTTCTGATGTTTTAGGAAAAGGATATAATGGTTATCAACAAACTGCTCTACGCCACGACAAAAGGCGCACTTGTGGTTGATAAAAAGTTTGAGTTTCTGACAGTAAATTACTGATTCCGATTACATCCTCACCCAAGTCTAGTTTGGATAAACGGACAGTGTTCGTTTTACCAATACATGAGGTCTAAAACTTATTATACTTAGGCCTCCAAATATCCTGATACGGCTGAGCGTCAGAAAAGTTCGCTCTGTCTCTTTAAATCCTCTTATGTGGCTACGCGTGCATACCAATTACCACGGAAGTTTTACTCACTACTTTATTGTGACATAGGTATTGTTTACGAAATTAAGAGGTCGAAAATCGAATGTCTGATGATTAAACTAGGTTGGTGGGTAAACAGAATCCACATAGGGGAGTTAGAAAACTCCGACTTCAAACCATTAAACTACACGGTTTCCGTATCCTAGAGGCTCTAAGGCAGTATCATAGTCCGCTTACAAATTCAATAACTTGTGTGGCGCATAAATATTTAGGTGCCTCTTAGTACAGAGTAGATAGTCTATTCAAGAAGCAACGTTATTGCTTAACTAGATATTGCATCACAGTTAACGTCCCATTTTATTCTAAACAAAACAGACAAATAAGGTAGGAGATAGAAAACCTTTGCATTGATCTCATTTGACATGCTTCATATCAGTATGATTAGAGGAAATCAACATCAGGCTAAGGGATTCAAGATAACAATACCAATAGTGGTGGGAAACTAGGAGTAGACATGACAAATAAATAAAATGTCAAGAATGATTATCTGTTCAAGACAGGGTCAGATTTATGATCATAAGTAAACAAAGGGTCGAAACTGCTTGTACTGGATTGTGATTGTATTTCAGTGCGGACCATGACATAATTAATTACCAAGGATGGGGAAATGCATTTACACTACACTCGTTTTCGTGAAATTATTGTGAGACTTCAATGAAAGTAATTTACCATTGTTTAGTTCAATACAAGAATAGCTCTCGATCACAGGTATCAAGTAATGAAATGTGCAAGAACTAACTAAATAACCAGTAAGGATAGATCAGCATCAAAATTCAACAGAGAATGCTAAACTAATTGAAATGTTTTTGAATACACCTGGTAATAAACCATTATTGAATTCGACGTTTCTGTAAAAACCGTCTCCGCCTCATGATTTCGTAATAATGCTTACAAAAGGATAGAAGAAAGTCAAATAACGTCAACTTACTGGATAATTTCTAGATATCCATTCATGGCATTTGGTGTTGCTGGAGGTGAAGCGTCTGGATGTACATCTAAGAAATTAGGAAGACACGAAGCAACCGGATAGCTCGCTTTCACATTATCAGGTTGGAAAGTAAATAAATTTGACTTTTGTGGTAATGAACTGACATGATCAATGGGTGGATAAGGGTTTCTAAGTAGAAAAGATGCTGGAGTTCGCTTCACCGGTGTACTTTGTTCCATAGATCGATCAGATTGGTGAAAAGATGTCGAAAACACGGGTGCACAATTTACACTATGACGTGGTAATTCAGGAGAAGTAGACAACTGGAAGTCTAAAAGTTTATTTCAATTAGAATTAACAAATAAACAGACAATGAATAGGAGGAAAATATTAATATTACATAGTCAAGAACTTTCTACGTATCGAAGGTAAGTAAAATTAGAAATCTAATCCAGTAACCACATAGTATAAAGGAATGAAATACTAACTGAAATGCCACATCAGTGATGTAACAATAAAACCACCGAACTAACTTATTCACAAGCCGGTGTTTTAATATCAAGTGAAATTCTTTAGTGGCTGGTGACAGAAGTACCATATTCGTACACTTACGATCCTAAAGTTAACATGTACTACTGCTTGGAAACAAGGGTTTCGAAACTCACTTAGGTGCATCCGATTCACCGTCTAGCTGCGTAAAAAGACCGTAACTCAGAGGAAATGAGCAGGTCATCTCCTAGACTAAAAACGCAATTTGATGTGAGGGAATTCCGAGGGGGAGTCCAGGTGCAACAGATTCAGTATGTACCCGGAAGAGCAACTCTCCTGTACACCTGTGAAACCTGATCCTTTCGAGACGAGGTTGCTCGTGCACTGTTTGACCATCTTTTTATCCGAAGGATTGCTTGCATCTGGTGTTATTTGCTAATGTTAGGGTGCAACGCGCAACCACGTGTGCGTATTCAGAGGAGAGTGGACTCTTCTGACCCTCGGCTGTTCTGAAGCATTTGGAAGCTACAGTAAACAGTAAGATTGCAGACAAAGGAAGTGTGGAAAGGTCACATTGGCATACACCTAGTGAGTGTGGTCTGGAAATCCACGACAAACTATCGCGAAACGGTAGGGTACAGGGCTGAAGTATGGTTCAAAAACCTCGTTACTATATCGTTATAAATTTCCCACTAACTGAATTTTGGGAAAGTACAAAAGATTGTAAAGGAAGTGGGGGACAAGTATGGATAGATCAAGGCAGTTTAGCTACATAATTCTTACAAAACTACTAATTTCGTTTACGAGTGACTAAACCATCGAGAATCTTTAAACCACAGCATAAATAAAACATTTCAATAAAACATTTTACTGATCGTGGGAACAATTGACTGTTTATTGAAAAAATAATGATAAACGTGCTGCTAGGCGTTCACTGGATGAGAAAGTATGTAGCTTACCCGAAAATCCTTTGGTCTTCGGATTTAGCTTTGAGTCTCCAGTCAAATGGTCAGAACACTCAAGTGAAGATTCAATTGTTGAATTTCGGAGATTCAGAAGTTCTGATTCATAACAGTAGGCAATAAATGCGGCTAGTAGAACAAGAAAGTCGGATAATGCTCTAGGCTCGCCACTCATAAGATCCTCTGGTCCAATATGGTCCAAGTCCTCTCCGATTTCCTCAGATAGTTTACACACAATAGCTTTGAAGTTTTCTACACAGCCAGTCTCAATGCAATCACAACAAGGCACTAAGAACCATGAGAAAAAAATATTTGTAACTTACGAATATCATTGCCAAACAAGACAACTGCTAAGTCGTAAACGAAGGCAGGAGTGATATCATGAATACTCTGAATGTAAGGCTCGACGTTTATTAGGGACAAAGCGCAGTTAGACAGCCGAACCAAATCATCTAGATAACATTAGAGGATTATTTAATCACAAACGACACATACCTGAAGCATAGTTACTATCTTTGGACAACTCAAACACCATTATAAACGAACAGGCAGGACCAGCGCTTTACCTATTCTCAAGCACTTCTTTCACGAAATAGTATAAACTATAAATCCAGAGTTTTGTGCGTTGGAGTTTAGCCTAAAGATTCCTTGTGTGCTGTGGGAGTGTGAGGAGCAGTACCTGCGGTTATCTGGAAGAGGAATGAACAAGAGAAAAATTGAACCAATGACTCAGTAGGCAAATACAATACATTTACACTTATTATTGAACGCAATCGACATTAATCAGAAATAACACAAGCACGAGATTTAGACAAACCGATAATCGTAATTAAAAGTCGGTAGAGTACAGTTTCGAATGTGTAACACCGAAACCAATTGATTTGTACAATATCCAATATCGTCTTGACAAGCTAGTATAAAACCATTCAATTTTTATGCATTCGCGTTCTATTGCCTCGTGAGTTATTTATTAACTTGTATGTTGCGTGATTTGAATGAGTACGTTTGTTTCTAGTCAGTATAGTTTCTGTATACCAACATCCATCACGTTACCAGGCGGTAGATCATTTCGTTGCAGTGTTGAGAATAATGAGGACGATAATCCGTATGTGTGTATGTGTTTGTCAAGTCTCTTTTTGAAGCTGTGCAATGAGGGGGCTGTGGTCATTTCGTCTGGGGGAGCATTCCAATCCGGAACAACTCCCAATGAGAAAACGTGTGAACGAACATGGATTTTAGCTGTATGGTGAGCAAGTTTTCGGGGACTTCCTCAAGGTACGTGGTGGTGATGCTCAAGTTAGGATGATAAAGCGTGCTTAATATGTTGCCTATCATTATCAGATCACTTCTTGTTCTTTGATCTCTAACAGCGGGAATAGTCACGTGTCATTATAATAATATTTATTACTAAATGGTGGCGGGCTACATGAGTCATGTCAGTTTACAGAAAAGATCAAACAGTTACAAATGCTACCAAACTTACCTCAAAAGTTTACTCAGTTACATAAATAATAACCCTTTCATCTATTTCGCTTCTAGTCTCTGCACTCGATCCAAGAGATTGACGTCTCTCTGGGAGCCCAGTTGAATGCTGTGCGCCTCTTACGGACCTATACATATTAGCGTTATCCGAGTAGATTAGTTCTGTCATGATGATTTATCTAAAAGGGCCTAAACAAATAACAAAGAAGGGAGTTAACCTAAGATGATCTCCTTTAAAGCTTCAAAAGTCGAAACTCTTGAGAACTCTGTCTACGAAATATACTGTTCTCTAGGTTGTTTGGGACCGAAGATAAAAGCAAGTCAGTTAAGCTCATCTTCGCGACCTTCGCACTCAGGAGAACGTGAAGTAATGTGTCGGAAGCCTTCGCGAAGTCAAGGGATATTATAAGAACAGGTAATAGTTGTTCCCATCAGGTTTTCCATCCGGGACATGGTATGAGAAGTTTGGATGTGCCTGGCTATCTTTTCGTATATCAGGTTTGGACCTCACGGCTGATGATGTCTTTATCCGTGTATTAGCTCATTCTCCAGTTCACCATTCCTTTCATTACATACGATGGTGTCGGTAGCAACCCAGCTGATCTTGATCGATTCTGTCTCATTCGTTGTTAGTTAGGGACAGCAACTTGTTTTCATTCAGGTGGCGTGACTTCAGTGAATGCCTAAACAGGTCACTTACCGGTGAACTGAGTGCTTTCGCACAATGGTTTAGGATTATAAGGAGAATATTATCACATCCTAGTGCCTTTCCTAGGTACAGGGATTTGAGTTCTGGTAGTACTAACGCGTGAGTTAGACGGATGTTCCCCAGACCTTTAGCCGACACTAGGTTTGAGTAGTACTCTGAACGTGTAGGTTCCTGGATTAAACGGTCCGTAAAGTTGATGTTCAACATCTCAGCCATCTCTCAGTTAGCAAGATCGTCACTTGGACCGTTGAATACACAAACAGCGTGGTTCGCAGGATTTCTTTCAGTCAAGAACCTGAAGGTAAATTTTAGGTTTGTTGAGAGATTTAATGGACGAGATAACCGGGAATCGCTAATTGCCATCAGAATGTGAAGGCCTACGCTTGGTGACAGCCATAGCAGTTGTTGTGAATAATATCCTTGAGCTGGAGCCAAGCTACTGCTTACCAGCTCAATCACCTATCATACAGGTTTGTTCTTGAGTGCCTGTTGATGCTTCAGCAGCTGTTCATGCTGACCAGAATTTGACATGCCTGACACGGATTAACGATGACAGCTGAACAGAGGGTCTTTGAACGGTTAGAAGGAATTCGTCGGAAATTTTAGAGAGTGAAAATCAACCCTTAGCGGAGAGGGTCTTCCTTTAGCGAAATTCGGGGTCTTAAACAAACGGCAGAGTGTGGCCGGAGTTCTGCTCATTCGAAGCATTGAGCAGTTTCTATCCTACTGTTCTTGATAAAACATGTCCCTACTCGGCAATCAGCGATCCCCTGACACTGGGACATTAAATAAAATTAGTGAATCTAGTTTAACTTACCAGTACCTGAGCTGTAGCGTTTTGTGGGGTGTGATGTTACCGTTTCGCTTTCTTATGCTCAGCCACTGTAATAACAGGTAGCTTCGTTGGTGTATGTGCTTTGGGTGCAAGTATGATTGTCATCTGTTTAGCTGAACATCTCTTGGGCGAATCTGGCATGCCGGTGGGCTATATGTGGTTGTTTTTGACAGGGTCTGATGCAGACAACTTGTCGGTTTCATTGGTTGATTTATCCAAAGAAATACCAGAATCACAGACAGGTGTGAGTCGGCATGAACGCATAGGACTGTCTCGGTACTGCAGCATCACTGCGACAGTGAATGCAGCCATTGCAGAGTCTCTGGTATTAACTGGCATGAGCAGGTAACAAATTATCCTTTCAGAAAAGTTAACTAAGTCACTGGAGTTTTAGGACATCCTCTTCCTTGTTTTCTCTCTGCGCATATGTCTTACTTCTGGGCTTCTATATCATCCTGATTTCTTAGATGGAGATCTAGTTCAGGTGTTTGGGTCGAGTGATCCGTGTTATTCGCATTATTTCAGGATTCATTATTTTGTACTGCCTTCGGCTTTTTCGTAATCCTGTTTTCAGAAAATTTGGTTTTACACTATTTTCAAACCCTTAAATTCGAGCCTGCATTTGTTTTCCTATTTCCGTGAGTATTAAGACCAAGAAGTAAACTGAGACAAGTTGAATCAGAAAATAAGAAAGATATGTTCTGAAGGAAGAAATTATCAATAAAAAATAAATGAACAGATATAACACAAGTATGCAACCTGAAAATCGCGTGGAAATGCGACGCTACATTTCACAGCCCTACGATACAAGTCTCTGTGGATCCAATAATTTTTAAGAGGTTAAATCTTTGTTATTCAATGAAGCAACTCGGGGGAAAGCATTTCTTTGAAACAGCGAGAGCTACTACGCAGTGGTTGAGTCGGGTTTAAGCTTCTTATTTCCATTGGCAGACAATGAAAAAGACGAAGTTTTTATGGTCGGAAATATTAAAGTATTTTAATCTGGTTGTGAAATCTGGATTTTTTCCTCCAATTATTAAACCAAGAGGAAAGTCGGGTTAGATTCGGAGAATGCATGTCTGGTTAACATGGAAAGAAGGATGAGTAAGACGAAACATTGCTTCCATCTAATTCGTCATGCAATTTAGTCAACGTATTTGCGTATGTCGCGACTCATTATGGTGCCTCCTTGCTCCTAAATAAAAGACTTTGTAAAGTACGTCGTCTTTACTCTTAATTATACCTCTGATTAAAACCGGACTGAAAATAACATCAGCGTCTGTTATCGTAAAGCCACCTACTAAGGATACATTCCTTCCTGCGTTGACTTTTTGTTGAACAACCAAACCACACTATCGGTATCTTTACGAAGCTATCACCGATATTCAGCAACCGTATTGATCTCTAGCAACGTGCATTCAGTAGGGCTCCATGGATAGCTATGATGTTCCCGGAACGTGTAAACAGCTAATGTGTGAGACATTTTAGCATCTAATGCCTTTATATCTCTTCTTCTGTCATCTACAAACTATTGGTTGCACGGTTGATTTTTGCATCGAAAAAAGTAAGACTGGCCAAACCTACTCATTCAGTTACTGAGTAATATAGGCACACTCACAATTACCAAATTATATCTTTTCATACCCTCATTAATCCCCTGTTGCTTGGAAAAGAACTATGTCCGGATTTTAAAAATATAGTTCCTTTTAGTTTATCTGAGGGCCCAGATTTTATAAATAATAACTCCTCAACAAGACAAGAGAAGTAGATTAAGATTCTCTAGTCTGGTTGTCATACAGATGCACTTGCCTTCCGAGAATCAATTTAGTATCGGTTCTCTGAATCGTTTCTCGATGTCCATCGGCTATTGGTAGCTCCTAAAATATCTTCAAGTTCTCCTGTAGTGAAGGAGAACACAGGTGAGGGCAACCGAATTGTATTTATTGCAAATTACAGAGTTAATCAGTAAATTCGGAAAACCATATCGTAAACGGTTAATTTGCAAATCTTCAACCCATCATCAATCCATTGTCTGACAGTTCACTATTCATGCGTTTCATACAAATTCCATTGTGTTCCCACTCTTCCTTTCTTGTTGATCTTACCCCATCTTCTGCTGCCAGACATTACGTGTTCACTCGCGTCATATACTAGTTATAAGTAGCGCGCACCACACTCCGCCTACATGTGTACTGAAACACGACTGAATTCCAGTGGAAGTATTCACATTAAAACTGTGGTAAATCAGAAGTGAAAGACAGAGAAGAATACCGTGAAACGATAGAGGAAATCTAATATATTTATATTGGCATTATTGATGCATATAAACAAATATGGTGAACATACTTAAACTGTATCACAAAACAATATAAAGTTCAGTCCGATTGTCAAATTTCTTTGTTGATATTGGTCTCAAAAGAAATGTTTTCCTTTACAAGGAATTATTCTAATTAGCTTTGTTGAAAAGTTAGTTATGTGTAAGGGGACAAGTAATTCAGTTTTATAAAAT